TGGTGCGTGCGGCGCCGCGGAAGAGCAAGTGGTGCTCATTTTTTTCATTATGTGTTTTGCCGATCGGCGCGGGCCCTCGCACCCCCTCCTCGCCCCCCCCGTGGGGTATAGATCTTGGCCGTGTTTGGCGCCTGTTTCAGGCAGGTGGAGTCGTCCCCCACAGGACGCACTGTTGCAAACAGTCGCATGAAGCAGAGGTCCGGAGCCAAACCCCCCCCCGCTTCCGCCCAATGTCGAAACGCCGAATAAGACAACGTTCACGTGCTGCGGGTCCTCGGAATAGACACCACCACCACCTCCATTCCTCCTCTCTCCTCTGTCCTCCTCGTCCACTCCTCCTCCTTCCTGGGGGAAGAAGGGGGGTCAGGGAGGATGTGGTGGTGGTGCATATTTTTAGGCCCCGTAAGTGCCGCACACACTGAGTGAGGCATTCCAGAGGGTGGCTCGCCTTTGAGGGTCGAAGGGGTTGCCCTCTCTTCCGCGGCGGAAGGCGGCGGAAGGTCGGCGGAAGGCGGCGGAAGTAAAGGCCGGCTCCACCAGCGGAAGCCGGCGGAAGGCCGGCGGAAGGCGGAAGTCAAACATGCGGAAGGGCGAAAGGTGGAAAGGCGGAAAACGGGGCTACCTCCGCCGGCGGGTGCTTGCGCGGAAGGCTGGCGGAAGCCGGCGGGAGCAAACGTCGGTCTCCCAAAGCATTCTTGGGTTCAGAGTTTCCAGGACTCGCCACATGTACTCCTAATATAGGCGGTCGATCATGGGCCCATTTTGTTACCTGCAGCAGCCCAACTTTCCTTCTTAGGAACTCGCCAGACATCCAAGATGTCCGCCAAGCACCGTTTTGCAACATGAGGTGCACGGTCGAACCTGCAATGAATTCCAAGAGTGGAGGGGAGGGAAGCGGAGAGGAGAGCAATCGGATGGGAAGCGGAGAGACGAGGCGTGGAGAGGACAATTGTGCAGAGGCAGCCGGGGCCAGGGGGCGACAGGTCCCGAATGTCGCTTGTTGCCCCAGACGTAGAATGAGGGGCAGATGGACGACGATGTTGACGGCCACGGTGCTGCCGAGTCTTCGTTTCCCAGCCCTGGGTCGTTGCCACGGACAGAGCGCAACATAAGCAGCCGACGTAATTTTGTCCGAGACCAGAGTCACGGGAGGAGAAAACACCCCGCCCACTTCAACGGGTGTTCTCTAGGCAGTCATCGCCGTATGCTACCGAGCTTGCCTTGTTCGAATCCTTCCGCCGGTGCGTATACTATGGGGCTTCGTTTGTATGGAGTGCTCATTCTGAGCGCGGTTCTTCTGCATTGTAAAGAGGGCAAGTTTGCCCCCGGAGGATTGGGCCGAGGAGGAGGATACAGTTCTGGACAGAACTAGATCTCGCCCTCGATGGGCGATGTCAGCGTAGTCGATGCTTCTTAGAAGGAGCTGACCCCTACAGTGATGTCCTGGCGGAGGTGTGGCCCCTCGGTGCCCCTGCGGAAAGCCGGACCGCTGCCCACGCTTCGGCCGCCGCTGGTTGGATCTTCCAGCTGACAGGAGGGCCAAGAAGGCGACAGCGCCTACGAAGACGACGACGACAACGACGACGACGACGACGGCGGCGGCGGCGACGACGACGACGACGACGACGACGACGGTGGCGGCGGCGATAACGACGACGACGACCGACGCGACGACGACGCGACGACGACGGCGACGACGACGACGATGACGACGACGACGACGACGACGACGACGACGACGGCGGTGGCGGCGGCGGCGAAGGCGACGGCAAGGAAGCCGCGGCGACGGCTGCCCAGGACGGGGCGGCGGCGGCGACGGCTGCTCAGGACGCGATCAAAGATGCGGCTCAGAAGAAAGCCGATGACCCGGACCCTCGCGCGCACGCGCCGCGCGGCCGCTGCCACGGGAGGTCGTGAGGGGAGGAAGACGACGAGGAGGGGAGGACCTCGGAGGACGAGGACGGGACAAGGATGGGGAGGACGACGACGAGGAAGGGAGGAGGACGACGAGGAGGAGGAGGAGGAGGAGGACGACGACGCCGCGGGCCCTGGAGACGGCTGGGTTGTGTTTGTTTCAGGTTCCGTGTTTGCACTTTCGTTCCAGTTCTGTCGCCGTCTTTTCCTGGTTCCGTCGTAGGTTTTGTTGCGGCCCTTGTTCCAGTTTTGATTTCGGCGCAATCGGTGTTCCGTTTCGGTGACTGAAGTTTGTCGGACGGAGCTAGATAGATGCTTTCCAGAACGCTCTGAGAAATCCGGGGCGCCCGAGACATTCTCCAAGCCCGCCGATGCTCAGAGATTTTCGATTTACATCAATCCGATCGTGTCTCGATTATGTTGTCGTTTTATGTTTTCCGCATTTTCAGAACGGTCAGAGCGAGGTATAAGCTCGAGGTCGGCTCGGGGAGGGTAGTTACCCTGATGTTCTCCGTGCTTGTTGAATGTGTTGTGCATCCTGGGGAGGGCACCCTTGGATGTTCTGTGTGTTTTGGCTGGCGGGGGGTCTCATGTTCTTTGCGGATGTCGTTCTGTCCTAGTTTTGAATATGTTTTGTTCTCATGTTCTACTGTTCGATTTTTTTGGGGGGTATATTTTATGTATTTTCGTCCAAATTCCGCCTGTCGGGGGATTGCGGCCCTTGTTGCGGTTTCGATTTCGGCGCAATCGGTGTTCCGTTTCGGTGACCTAAGTCGGACGGAGCTAGAACGATGCTTTCCGGAACGCTCTGGGAAATCCGCGGCGCCCGAGACATTCTCCAAGCCCGCCGATGCTCAGAGATTTTCGATTTACATCGGTCCGATCCTGTCTCGATTATGTTGTCGTTTTATGTCTTCCGCATTTTCAGTACGGTCGGAGCGAGGTATAAGCTCGAGGTCGGCTCGGGGAGGGTAGTTACCCTGATATTCTCCGTGCTTGTTGAATGTTTTGTGCATCCTGGGGAGGGCACCCTTGGATGTTCTGTGTTTTGGCTGGCGGGGGGTCTCATGTTCTTTGCGGATGTTGTTCTGTCCTAGTTTTGAATATGTTTTGTTCTCATGTCCTACTGTTCGATTTGTTCGGGGGGTATGTTTTATGTATTTTCGTCCAAATTCCGCCTGTCGGGGGACACGCCCGGCCCAATCCTGGTTCCTGCCGTGTCCAGCCAGAATTCCGGAGACGGTTCAAGATGATCTTGCCGCCTCCACAGACTTGGTTCTGGGGAAGGAGGTGGCCGACGAGGAGGAGGAGGAGGTGGAGGTGGAGGAGGAGGAGGAGGAGGAGGAGGAGGACCGAGGACCCCTCTCCCCCTCCAACTTATGCTGGTGGTGGTGGTCCTGCCGCCTCCACAGGTCTGGTTCTGCCGAGGGCCGGCGGCCCCGGCCCTTTGCGTTCCGTGGGGCCGCGGCGGCGCCTGGGCCATTCGCCGGAGTCCTCTTCGCCAAGCAGTGGCGAAGCGTTCTGGCTCGACTCCTGGGCCCACCAAGGAATGTTCTGAGAGCCTCTTGTGGTCTGCACGAAGTGTTCTCATAATAGTTCTGGCTGAGACCGCTTACTGTTTTATCACATCGGGTTTACGTTCGGATAACATGGCTTGCGTTATTAGAACAGTTTGGGGTTCCAAGAACGTGTCGTGGTAGGCCCATAGGCATGCCTTGACGGTCGCTTCCTGCTCAATTGCGAGGCGTGAGTCTATGCGAGAGTGGCGTTGGCGGAAGGTGGTGCAGATACAGTCGGACCGAGGTAAGATCGAGGTCGGTTCGGGGAGGCAGCGTAGTGCTCTGCGTGCCTGCTGGATGTTCTCTGTGCATCCTGGGGAGGGTATGCTTGGATCTGCTGCTTGTCCTGGCCAGCGGAGGGTCTCATGTTCTCGAGGGGTGTTGTTTCTCTGGCCCAGGGCCGACTGAAGAGCAGCTGGGAGGTGGTCAGCGGCGCAGCGATCCGCGGAAGCGGTGCTCGGGGGCGCGCGCACGGGGTGGCGGGAGCGCCTGCCGACGCCGAGTCAGGCGGCTTGCTCCCGGGCGACTTGCCACGCGCCGGGGGCAGCCCAGCGGCGCTCGCGGGCCTTTAGTTATTCAGCTCCATCTCGAACTCAACGTTTTTTTTATTGCGTAGGCGTGAGTTGGCCGCGAAGGCCCCGGCAAAGTCAAGAAAGCGTCAACACGAGGGCAAGACAGAGCGAACCTAGTGAGTTGATAGGTCCGCGTCGGAGCAGTAGGGCTTAAGTCGAGGAGGAGGATAGGGGGAGGAGGAGGAGGAGACGGAGGAGGAGGAGGAGGCGGAGGAGGAGGAGGAGGAGGAGGCGGAGGTAGAGGATGGGGGAGGAGGAGGAGGAGGAGGTGGCGGAGGAGGAGGAGGATGATTTGGGAGGAGGAGGAGGAGGAGGAAGAGGAGGAGGAGGAGGAGGAGGAGGAGGAGGCGGACTCGAGGAGACTTCGCCTGGCGGCGCAGCGGATCGCGCAGCTGCCGAAGGGGCCCGAAGAAAGAGCGGGCACCGCCACGGGCGTCGGTGGACGCGCCCGCGCCCGCGGTCCGCACGTGAACAAAAAAAGTGTCGGAGGTGGTCGCTCGCTGGCCGAGGCAGCCGGGCCAAGGGGGGATAGGGCTTTAGTGGGACCTGAAAACGACAGGGCCGTTTTTTTTACTGGTTCCGTTTTGTCGTTGTTCTGCCGGTTCCGACGCCTTTTTTGTTACCGGTTCCGTCGCCGTTTTTTGATCTGTTCCGGCTCCGTTTCCAATCCTGGAGCAGTTGTTTTTGCCGTTTCCGGTCGCCGTTGTTTTTGCCGTTTCCATTTTCAAGGGATATTTTTTTAGAAACGGTGAAAAAAAGGCCCTGCCGTTTCCGGGGCCCACAAACGGATAGGGGAAGGGGGGGTTGCGAAATTTGCCGCATGCGGCTGGTGTCGGCCCCGCCGCCGGGCCCATGCCTCGATGCACGGGCGGCTATCCCCCCTTTCGCTCCCACCGAGAGATATCGGCGTGCTGGGAGCTCTCCGGTGTCTTCGGCCTCGTCGGGCCGTCGAGGCATGTGCTTCCCCGCCAGCGTTGAATTCGAGTAGGGGATCGATTACAGAATTGATTTACCCCCAAATTGGTTTTCTCGCCGAACCTGGGAGAAATATGCAGAAGTGTTAGTATATTGACGAACATTCTAGGTTTTCGTCGTAGATGCGATGGGGAATCAATGTTTGGCGAAATCAATTCTGTAGTCGATCCCGTACTCGATGAATTGACGACAGGCTCAGAGATCACCCTCTGCACGGCGGCTTCTTGTTTCTCTCCGGCCAGCCGGCCCCCGTTGGCGCAGCCACCGCTTCTGTAGGGCAGGGTGCGCTGGTCCCCGTTCGCATCCGCCTCTGGGTCGCATTCCGAATGGCCCTGCCCTCGCTGATGTCCACCTTCGGTCCACATGGATGCTTCTGTTTCCAGCCACGCCTTCGCCTCTTCCATGAGTTCCTGCTCTACTTGACTTCAGCAGTTCAGTCCATCCATTCCTCTTCATCCGTTTCTTTCCCAAGGAGCGCCCGTTCCACCCGTTCGCTGTCCTCATGTGTTCTGCCGCCTCCACTTTGTCCAGGAGGTCAAAGAGGAGATCAAGAAGGCGGCCGAAAAAGCCAAGGTCGGCGTCCCCCTGGCCTCCGCCGAGCGGGCGCTCCTGCCGCCGATGAGCCCTATCAACATGATGAGGCCGAGGGCTCGGAATCGTGCCATCGCCAAAGGCCCAGACAGGATCGCGTCGTTAAAGACCATCAGGACGGCAAGTGTTTCGCTATTTTGGTGGGCCCCCGGGGGCCCTTACCAGGCCTCGGGGCCGTGAAAAAACGAATCAGGATGAAAAACCGGCCCCGGGGAAAGGGTCTGGGATTTCGGGGGACGCCGTCCTGACGAAAACCAGGACGTCGCATGTCTGGGGATGTGTGCGCCTTCCCAGGTTCCCAGGGTTCCCCCGGTGGGGTATTCCTGCGCGCGCCGCGGACCCACGCCCCGTGCCTAGAGAGGCATGGCTCCCGGCTCCCGCAAGCCGAGCAGCGCGGCCTCGAAGTACAGCGGCCCCGCCTGCTGGCCAGGATAGAAGCCCCATGTGGCCTCTGGCCTGCAAGGAATCTCTGGGCGGCCTTGCGTCCAGGGTGGGGGGCCAACACTCGTCCTGGAGCCTTCTGCATCTACCTTTCTCGTCCCTGACACGGTCGGGGACTTGTGCTCAGCGTGTCGGAGCGCCGGTTTTGGCCCACCTCGCTTCGGCGCGACACGCTAATTCATCCTGAAGCGGGCCTGTCCCTCTACAGGAGGAAAATTCCGAATTGATCAAACAATTGTCTGGTGACTATTTTAGTATTCTTTACTTTTTGCGTATTTTTTGACAATTTCTAATTCTTCCTTGAGAATCGGCCTGTAGGGAGACAGGCCCGACCTAAAACTAATCTCCAGCTCCTGAGCGCCATTGTCCTGAGCCTTTCCCACGTCCCTTCCCCGCGGAGCGGAGCGGCACCCTTTCCGCTAGGATGGCGTAGTGTGTCGCCAGGGCCGCCACCGCAACACGCTAAGCAAGAGTTCCTGACCGTATGCTTCAACATAGGGCACCGCAACCTGACATTGTGCATACCACGGTCTGCCTCGGTTTGGGAGGGTCGTCGCCGTGCGCGGTTGCATGCCGGGAGGCAGGATGTGTTCGGGCAGCACGATTCGGATCATGTTTGTCGGAATTGCCATGGTCGGATATACAGACACGGTAAGTTCTCGGTCTGATCGACTTGGCTCCATCACCATGTTTGCAATCCTAGGGGTTCACAGCCATGGCGGCGTGGACGTTGGGCTAGGTAGACCTGTGGACAGATCTGGCGTCCAGGCTGCACGACCTGACTTCGCCATCTACCCGGACGGCCGCCCCCTCCCTTATATAGTAGATTATGGGTAGGCGCTTGCATATGTAAAAAACAAGTGATGTCATATGATTGCGAATGCCTTACGGCCGGCGCCGCCGCCAACCCTGAGAGAGGACGACGAGGGCGAGGACGAAATGGAGGGTGGGAGGAGGGGCAACGGGGGAAGAAAAAAAACAGCAAGAGGAGGAAGACGCGGAGGAGGAGGAGGAGGACGCCTTTCGCGCCGTGCCGCCCAAGCCCAGACGCCTTGCGCGCGCCGCAGCTGTGGCTTGTGCTCGATGTTGGTCGCGCGCGGCCAGTGACCTGGCTGGCGGGCGGTATTCTGACTCTGTAGTTGCCCCGGGTCCCCTCTGGGATCCCCCCCGACCTCCTCCGGGCACGACCCGTGCGAGGCATGTTGCGAAATGGGCGGGGGGACGCAATGCGAAGCTGCCCATTGGCGCCATAGGTGGGGCTCCTTCTGGGGCATAGTTCGCATGACAGGTGTGCCGACATGGGCGGGGAGGCGTTGTGTGAACTTTGCTTCTGAGCCTTGAGGTGGTGCTCCGTGTGGCCGGATGCGAACTTTGCCGGATGCGAACCTTGTCCCTCTTCTTCTCTTGTTGTTGATTTCTCTCTCTCTCTCTCTCTCCCTCTCTCCATCTATATATACATATACATACACAGTTATACATTTTCAGAGTCACACGTGTGTATATCTCTGTGCATCTACACATGTGGATTTGTGAGTATATGTATACAGATGTGGGTCTGCAGTTCGGGGGCGCCTACGGACAGTCACCGCGGCCTCATGCCTTCTGAAGGGCCTTCTGGAAGCACATGTGTCGGGAAATGTCGCTCGACAGTGCGGCCCCAGTAGTGTATTGCGCGTCCCCCGAGCTGCCAGGGTGGAAATCGCTGATGGGGACATTCGGGAGCAGCCACTTCGTACTCACTTCGGGCCTTTGAGGCCTCCTTGGAGGCCTGCTGGGGCCCTCGTGGGCCATTCTCGGCAGGCTACCCCTCATAGCGTTATTGGGCCGTCTGGCGCCTGCGGAGGTCGTCTTGAGGACCTATGTTGGCCGTCCTGGGGCCGTATGGAAGCAACGCAGTGCCGTCTTACGGCTCTAGGGCCTCTTGGACCGTCTTGGAGGCTCTCAAGGCCGAAAAGGAGAGAGTCCCAAAAGCATTGAAATCATGTTTAGTTTTGCAATGCTTTCCGCCTCTTGGGCCGACCCCGAGGGCTCAAAGGAGGTCCAAGATGCCCCCCCAGAGAGCCTCGTTTACCCTCTCGGGGCAATCTTGGAGGCAATCTTGGACGTGTTGGACCATATTAGAGGCCACCTTGGGCGTTGGTTTGTCCTGCCACGAGTTTTCTGTGGTTGCATGTCTTTTTTAGTGGCAATGAGGTTTGCTCTTGCTTTCACTGTGGGCTTGCTTCCCGCCGGCACCACCAGAAGTAGGGGGGAGGGGGTTCTCCTCCTCTTCTTCCTCGTCCTCCTCGTCCTCCTCCTCCACCTCCTTCCCCCCCTCCAACTCATCGTGGTGGTGGTGGGAAACAGGCCAGGCCCAGCACTTCAGGCTCCGTTGCCGCTTCCGCCTCGTCTCTGTTTCGCCCTCGGCGTGCCGTGCCTGCGCTTCCCGCTGCCGCCGCACCTCAAAAACCAGCCGAGCGCCTCGCGCGTGAGCAAAGCGGGGGGCCCTCGCTCGGAGGTGGACAGACCTCCTACCCTGACACGTCGATTAAGGAATTGGCCGTTGTCGGTTCGCGAGAGGGCGTCGCGGCCGTCATTTTTTGCGGGTCCAGGTCTGGCGGTTTCGGTCCCAGGCCGTTTTCACTAAAGGGAGGTTTAGGAAAGGGAGGTTTGTCCACCGCCGACTTGCGCCATCGCCACCCCCCACATGAAGCAAAGTGGCCCTGGAGGAGTGGCCCTGGACGTTTTTCCCCGCTCTCGGGTTCCAGGGGCCCCTCTCCAGGCACATGGCACGGCCAACGCACGGTTCGGGATGAGAACGGCGTCTTGGGGGAAGGCCCCGAGGACCAGGACCCGTTCGAGCAGGGACCCGCGTCTGTCATGCCAACGAGGAGGGAGGTAAGTGGAAGTTGGGTACGCGCCGTGTTCATGCTCACCTGGTTGCGGAGGCTTGTGCCCCAGAAGGGCCCAGCAACATTAGCACAAGGAACAGGTTGAGGAGGAGGAGGAGGAGGAGAAGGAGCAGAAGCAGGAGGAGAAGGAGAAGGAAGACAATTTCGACGTCGACAACGGCGGCGGCGGCGTCGACGCCAATGGAGGCGGTGGAGACGACGATGAAGACGCCGACGGACCCGTGGACCTGAGCTGGGGCGCACTCTGACCACCATGTGTGGCTCAAGCCGTTTGGATCAGGGAGGGCCCGCACTGGGCTGCCACTTCTGCGCGCCCAGCTGCGTGCGCCCACTCGTGTCGGGGAGGAGCCCTGCGCAACCATGCCACTACACAGGGCCACGATTGCTGTGGTCTTCATAGTCTGCCTTCTCGTGGGCTGGATTCTGCACGCGAACTCTTGGGAAGTGCGTCGGGACACCAGAGCTCCTGGAGCAGCGCCTCGGGGAGGAGAGCCCCTTCCACGGCATCGACGCGCTTTCGTGCGCCAGTTACGCCAAGCCCCAGGCGGTGGACTGGGACAACGACGGGGACCTCGACCTCGTCGACGGCAACGGCGGTGGCGGTCTACAGTTCTTCGAGCGGCTGGCGAACGGGGCCCTGGAGCAGCGCGTCGGGGAGGAACGCCCCTTTTCCGCGGCATCAGCGTGAGATTGTATCCGGCCGCGCCCCAGGCGGTGCTCTGGGGCGACGACGGGGACCTCGATCTTGTCAACGCAACAAGTATGACGGCGAGGTGCTGCTGTTCGAGCGGGTGGCGAAGGAGAGCCCCTCCCGCGGCATCGACGTGGGGTACGAAGCCGCGCCCCAGGCGGTGGACCGGGACAACGACGGGGACCTCGACCTCGTCGTGGGCAACGACTATGACGGCGATGTGTTGTTTTTTTTCGGGCGGCTGGCGAACGGGTCCCTGGAGCAGCGCCTAGGGGAACAGCGCCCTTTCCGCGTCATCGACGTGGAAGACGAAGGCGCGCTTCGGCCCGCGCCCCAGGCGGTGGTCTTGGGCGACGACGGGGGCCTCGACTTCGCCAAAGCAACAACTATGACGGCGAGGTGCTGCTCTTCGAGCGGGTGGCGAACGGGGCCCTGGAGCAGCGCCTCGGGAAAGAGGCCCTTTCAACGGCATCTACGTGGAAGACGACGCCATGCCCCAGGCGATGGAATGGGATAGCGACGGAAACCTCGACCTCGTGGGCAACTATGAGGGCGAGGAGCTGCTCGTCGATGCTTGGTGCGAAGTTGTCCATGGTTGCTCGGGACATGGATCGTGTTCCCTGCTCGTGGGGACGTGCATCTGCGTGGCCGAGTATAGCGGCGCAGATTGTTCCGCGCGCGGCATTTGCCATGCATGCGCGCAGAATTCCAGCGCTGTCCTGCTCAGCGGCAGCCGTCGATGCTCGCCCTGCGCGACCGCGCCAGGGATTTTGGTCGTTTGTGGAGGCAGCGGGCGCTGCTTCCACGACGCGGGGGCAGGCGATCGCACGCTGGCCGATCGTGGCAAGCACCAAAGGCAGCACTGGGGCATGCTCGTGCAGCATGTGATCCCCAGGAGTGGAAGACGAGAGCGGGCGCGCGAACTGCGCGGGCGAGCGCCCAACGGACCGCATCATTCGGACGGACCCGCGCGCCATCTCGGTTTGCAACGCCTACCCTCCGTCCTTGTCCATCGGAGAGCCCCGCTGCGTCGCCCCGCTCGCGCAGAAGTGCAGCTTCGGCGGCGCCGCCTGCGGTTGCCCCGATGGGGCGCGTGGGGCGAGGGGCCAGCGGCCCGCCGTGCCCCGGCGGCGGCGTTTGCGCGGCGGGGGCGGGGGCTTCGGCACTTCGCGGCCATTGGCCCCCAGCCGCGGAGCCCGTCGAATGTCCTTCGGGCCAAGCTGTGATCGACGAGGGCGAGGCCGCAGACGAAGATCAGGCGATCGTCTGCTTCGCGGGCAACGCGCTTGCGGAGGCGCGCGGAATGGGGGCAGGCGCAGCGCGCGGCGAAGGCCGCGGGCGCCTCGGCTCCTCCTGCGCTAAGCGCGAGGGGGCGAGTTCTTCGCGCTCGGACTCGCGCTCCTCTTCGCGGCGACGCCGGCGACGCCCGTGCTGCCCCAGTTCGGCCCGCTACTCAAGATAACGACTGCAGGGCCGGAGATGGACGGGGGCCAAGAAGCAGGTTACGCAGACGCGCCCGCAGTCGAATGCATGGCCAGAGAGGGGGGGGGAGGTCAAGAGACAATGTGCAACTGGGCGCGGCGCGTCCGGCTTGCGCTTCGGAAGCCTGCGCATCCTGCGCGCGTGCCTTCAGGCCTGCGTTGGTCGGGCCGCCGCGCTTTACTTCGCGCGCCAGAAATATCTGAAAGTTGGACATTGCTTTGCACAGCTTCGTGCGCCAGTTTGCATCACTTTTCGGCCCCTGCACAACCGCCCCCTCTCGGGGCGGTCAAGGCGCGTCTTGTCGTCCGAGGCTGCGCTTTTGATGCAGCTGGCGGGGCCCCCAGCATTCCCGTTGCCAGGATGGGCGGCGCTTATCCACGAGACCGAGTGGATGCGCATGCGGCTGATTGTTTCCCACGCGTGTGCAGACGAGTGGTGTTCTCGCGAATGGCGGGGCAATCGCCTCGGAGAAGTTAGCCATGCGCTTCGCGCAGCAGAAGGCCCAAGCCGCTGGATCACTTCTCTCACACTCACAAGCCACGCGGCAGTCCGGTGCGTTGGCAGGAACACAGTCTCAAGCAGCGACGCGAGATGGAGGGCGACTCGCCGCGCCGGCTAAGCGCAGGCCAGCACCTGCCGTTCCTGAATAAGGCGCAGGCCATATGGTCAGTGCGGATTCCTGGGTCACGTACTTTGCGCGCGCACCGTTGACCCTCGTCATCATTGCGCATCTCCCGATTGCGCGGGGCTCCTTGGACTGCGCCCTTGATTCTGATCGCCAATACTACGACAACATAAGTTTCTCCTTTGTCTTCCTGAGCTTCCAGGCCTACTCCATCGGCGTTCCGCCGTCGCACTTTCGGTCCTGCGTCGCGCTGCCGCGTCGGCAGGGGGCGCGGGCGACGACGACTGGGGCGAGGAAGGTGGCGAAGAGCTTGCGGGGCGCAGCGCGGCGCATCTTTTACTCGCCATGCAAGCCCCGGTGCCGGCGGTTGCGTGCGTCGTCGTGCTTCGGCAGCGCGTGCTCGCAAGCGTCGCTTTTACATCTCCCAGTCCATCTGCGCGGCACGCTGCTTCGCCGCAGTCCTGGTGTCCGGAAGACCATGCGCCGAGGGCGCCGACGCAGCGTTCGCTGATCGCGCCCGGCTGAACGCCGCGCCGGCGCTCATCCTGACGTTCTGTCCCATTCGGCGGCCCTCGCAGACAATTCGACGGGCGGCGTGTCGCCTGACCGACGCGAGCTGGAGCGCGTGCTGCTGTTTTTTTCGCAAGCGTTCTCGCTTGTGCTATCATCTCGCCGTTCAACACGGCGACGAACGTGCTGGGCGAGGAGAAGGCGCGGTTCAGACAGCGCGTCAAGGAGCAGATGGAGTTGCTCAGTCCGCGCGCAAAGCGTCGCTTGCGCGCCGCCGTCGTCGGGCGCGCGCGCCCCAGGTCCGCCCCGTCGGCGCCGTCGCCATCTGCGGGCGCTCCTTCGCCGTGGCCGATCCGTGGATGGACGCAGAGTGACGTCGGCGGGGATGGCCCGCGCGGTGAGATCGGCGAGGGTGGCGCGCGCGGTGAGACTTTGCTGCGCACAGCCCACGTCGAGCAGTTCTTCATCTCGGCGCGCTGCATGCGCCATCGATGGATGCTTTCGAGAGCAGAGGTTCACCGCCTGACCTTCCTCCCTTTCGAGGTCCCATCGACTGGAGCAGAATCGCCATGTCCATTCTGAGGTTTCGGCAGCATGGACGCGGAAATCTGCAGCCCAACTCTTTGCGCGAGAGTGCCTCGGGTTGAGCTGTCCGCGCAGTGCCAGCAGATGCGTTGCTTAAGTTTCTGGTTGGACTGCCGCGTCCTAGTTTTGGGTGAACCCTCAACCGCTGCTGTCTCTCTGCCTTCTTGTTGTTAGGGTCCATTCGTCGTCGCACGAACGGGTGGCTTTGGCCACCCCTTCGCACTGCTCGGGACAAGGGTCCCGACCACGTTCTCTAGGCGTGCTTGGTGGAGTCATCGCCCCCTCAGTTGGGAAGCAGGCGGTTTTCATCATCATATGTTTTCTCTGGTATACAAGCTTACCATACCGCCCGGACCAAAACTTGAAGAAAAATGCCCGGGTTGGGGGGTATTCAGGTTCTTGTGGGGTTTCTCCACATTCCCGAACTTCTCCCCTTTTGGAAATCAACGGGCCCAAACGGTGATTTCGGGCTCGGCTGGGGCGGTCGGGTACGCAGTCGGCGTGTCGAGGAGAGCTCGCCCGGAGGCCGCGAAGGGAGTGGTCCGAGCCCCTCGGTGACCCCAGGTTCCGCGAGCGCGATCTTCCTCGGGCCCGCTGGGTCGAAGCCGCCTCGAGCCGTCCGCGCCTGGCGGGGGGCGTACGTGTGGGAAGCCTCGAGGAGGCGTGTCTGAGCGTGACGCCGTCGTGAGCAGGGAGGCAGAGGAGGAGGAGGAGGAGGAGGAGGAGGAGGAAGACGAATGCGAGGATTAGCGGAGGAGGAGGAGGAGGAGGAGGAGGAGGAGGAGGAGAAGGAGCGGATTCAGGAGGCGGACGAAGAGGTCGACGCGACGACGTCATCGCCGTCGACGACGGCGCGGGCGGCGGCGACGGCGAGGCGGGCCCAGGCCGCTCCGCTACGGAGGGGCAGGGTGAGATCGGCGTGACGTCGTCGTCGTCGCCGCCGCTGCCGTCGCCAAGGCCGTCGCGGTCGTCGTTGGCGAGGCTGTCGCCGCCGTCGACGTCGATGTCGTCGACGACGTCGCCGTCAGCGTCGACATCGAGGTCAGCATCGACGTCGAGGTCGTCGGCAACGTCGTCGTCGTCGTCGTCGTCGTCGCGTCGGCGGTGGCGGCGTCGTCGACGTCGGCGGCGACGGGGCAGCGCCGAACCCGCCCTCCGCGGGCGGAGGGTGGGGGCCCGCGCGGACGGCCGCCGCGCCCGCCCCCCCCCCTCGCTTAAGTCGGGCCTGTCCCTCTACGGGAGGAATGAAAATATAAGTGTATATATGTATAGATGTATATGAATATATAGAGTAACACATGCATATATGTATATATATATATATAGATATATGTATATATACACGTACCCATCGTTCGTTGAAAGTAAGTATGTCTGGGGCTGAAGCGCAGTCCTGCGTCGACGATGGAGTGGCGTCCCCTCCCTCCCTCCTCTTCAGGGGGCGGGTGGAGACCCAATCCGCTTCAACGCCTTCCTACGTCATGCTTCTACCTACTTTTTTCCCGACCGACGGGTGCACACATATATATATATATATATATATATATATATAACCATCATCAAAACAATAGTAGGGGACGATGTTTGGAATCATAAAAACCATCATCAAAAACAATATCCATCATCAAAACAATAACCATCATCAAACAATAACCACCATCATCCAACAAACCATCATCAAAACAATAACCATCATCAAAACAATAGATAAAACCATCATAAAAGAAGAACAGAGAAAATGAATACGTTTGGAATTTGTTTTGCTTATGTTTGGTTGTTCGCCCAAAGTCCGCCTGCAGGGGGACGTGCCCGACCTGACCCTTCGCCCAGGGCGCAGATGTGCTGGACCCGCGACCACGTCTGGGAGCACCAGGCGCCCGCGACGGCGGCGAACCGCCACGACAGCGGCGACCGCGACCACCGCGACCCGACCAACGCCACGACGACCACAGCGACCCCACGACGGCGGCCACGATAGCGACGGCGGCCACGACAGCGACGGCGGCCACGACGGCGAGGTGTCGGCAGCGTGGTGGCTCGGGCCAGCGCACCGCGGCCATGACAACGGCGGCGACCACGACGACGAGGGGTCGGCGGGGCTGTGGCTCGGGCCAGCGCACCGCGGCGCCCCCTCGCCCTGGGCGGAAGCCAGCGGAGGGCCGCGCGGGAGCAAGGCAGCCTGTCCAGGCACCCTGCCTGAAGGTCTCGGACTCGATCGGCTCTGCCTTGAGACCGCCGACGGCCCCGGCCTGCGCGGAGTGCTGCACGATCTCGCGCATCGTCTGCGCCTGGGCCCGCGACTGCGAGCAGCGAGAAGGCAGCTGAGCCGCCACACCCCCACGCCGGAGCCGTCGCCTCCGTGTCGGCAGCCTCCTCGCGCAGCTTCCCCTCCGCTCGGCCAGTGGCGAGAGGCGCTCGGCGCGAGGCCGTGCCGGCCGAGGGTGCGGAGGCCTCGGCCCCACGGAGTGGTTTTGGGGGATCTCCGACGCGTGGTGCATCCACTTGTCCCACGCCGCGTCGGGAGACGCCGCCGAGTAGAGCTCGTCGAAGTAGTCGAGCTGCGTCGGAGAGGCCTGCTGCAAATCTCGAAGGAGGGCAGCTGCTCCAGTACCGCATGTACGAGGCATCCCGGACACCATAGCAAGCTGGGCCGATGCCGTAGCCGGTTGTGGTGACCCGCAGCGCAAACCGCTCGTGAATCTCCAGCATTTCGCTGGCAGCATGCTGTTGCACGGAGCGCCCTCCGGGCCTGGAGCGCCGCTCGCAATTTCTCCGATGATTCCTTTTGCACGTGTCCTCAGCCCGAAGCCGTCTTTGAGATCGAGCCCGAGGAAGAGCGCGGACCGTCCTCGAGCCCACGTCAGTGTCTACTCCGGCCAGCCAGTCACAGAGCGCGTCCACCGTCGCGCGATACTGCAAGTGAGTGCAGTTGCAGCCGCTTTCTTTGGCCTCGGGCCAAGGCGATGGGCGAGTTGGAAAGTAGATCATCGGCACCAGCGTATCGAAGCGACCTGACCCCAGTCGGGCGAGGGCCACCATATCCTTCAGCCTGTGGGGGACGGGCGGTGTGTCCACGAGATGAGGCTCACGAAAGACGCGTCGCCGAAGTATAATGTCATATCCGCAACTCCTGTTCGAGCGTGCGCCTGGCTTCCAGACAGACCGCAAGGCAGCTGACTGC